CCTGTTTTCTATTTCCACCGGATCCGCGTCGGGCGGCTGCACCTTCACCTTCACCTCAGCCATGAGGGAACTGATCCCGGATCATCAAAGAGAGAATAACCGGGAATGAGGAATTGCGAGGAGAACCAGGACAGAGCGAGAACAGCGAGGCTCGGAGCCAGGGGCCTTCTTCATAGCGTCGCAGGCAGTTTGCCTCATCTTTTATTTGAGGTGGCCAAGCCACGCCTGACCCGCCTCCAAGCCAGCGCCTCGACGTCCTGCTCTGCGTGTGTTCCAGGTGACTAATGCCTGTTTTGCGGTGGAGTCTGATTTATTCTTTCTCTTTCTGAATGGAACTTCTCATCCCCGGTGCAGGCACATCCTCGGACACCTCGCTGAGGTCTAGGACCCGGCGCTGGAGGTGGTGCCGAGTGGCCGAGAGGAGGGCGGAGCTCGCTCCCGGAAGCCATTGGCTGCGCGCCTGTGGGTGGTGGCGTCACTTGTAGCGTCAACAGTTACCACGGCAGCGGAGGTCGCCCCTGAAGCCAGCGCGATGGCCATTGGCTGCACGCCCGTGGGTGGTGGCGGCTGTTCACTTCCAGCGTCCGTAGTTGCCACGGCGGCGGAGGAAGAAACCCGTGAGGAGGTGAGAGCCTGAGGTCTCGCAGGGAACGCGAGGCGGGTGCTGGCGGCCGAAAGGCGAGCGGGACCTTCTATCTCTTGGAAAAGGATGCAGTGGTCCTCGGCTGCCACTGGAGGTCGGGAGCAAGACCTCCCGAGATTCCAAATCAGGGCTCGAGCGGGTGGTCAGGGGTGCTGCTGATGCAGCTTTGCTACGTGGGGTTTGCTAGGTGCTATCCACTTGGGACCGTTTTGCACAGAGTCCGCTAGCGGCTTTAGCCCTCAAGGTCATCTAATGTTGTTGCAAGCAAATTACTTCTGCTCCACCTTTGGACAGAAATATGGAAACGGGCAAACCCAATTCCAACAACCCTATAGGCTATCTCAATTTTTAATATCTGCAATTTAAACTTTTGGTTTCTCACCTCGAACTCTCTAAAGACATCAAGTTCACCCTTATATATTTAGTTATCTCTTTTTCAATAACGAGATTTGTGACAAAATTTAGATTACAAGGATATTTAGAGTCACATTTGCAACAGTGGCAATGAAAGAGAACCTAAATTGCTTCAGTGCCTATCCACAGTCAAAATTGATCAAGTAACGTTGTAAGGACTGAACTATAAAAATTGTGTGAATACATGGGTAATGTTGTTGTTTACTGTAGAGTTAGAACCAACCCATAGCTGACCCTCCAGCATGTTTTTAAGTAGTTAATCCCCCACTAGGAAGAGCAGCTGGTGGCTTTGAACAATGTGCTTTCTGGATTGCAGCACAGCATCTTGCCACTAGGCCTCCAGAGAACATTGTATACAGAAAGACCAAAAATAGATGTCAGAAGAGACACTGAGGACACTTAGATGTAGAGGACCTAAAGCTAAATCAAAGAAGATGAAGAGAGCTAAACTGAAGATTTCAAAGTGTAAATGGAGTAAAAGGAAAACATAATGAAACGTGCAGCATTCTGGTCTTAGAAAAACAAAATGGAAAAACACATGAGACATTTCTAAAGCTGAAAGAATGAAAAGAAAACTATCAGCGTCTCAAGTTGCAGTATGAAAAATTCTATGGGCAATACTGAATGATGCAAGAAGTATCAAAACAATACAGAACCATTCCACTAAAAAGAATTGGTCAGCAACTAATCATTTCCAGAGGTAGCATGTGATTGAGAATCCTTAGAGGAGGAAGTCTAAGTTGCACTCCAGGAATTGACAAAGTATCAACAAATACATGCCCTCCTGGCTGGACATGCTTTCTCATCTATGCCAAGAAATTTGCAAGACCTGGCTAACTGACTAGAAGAAATCCATTGTTTGTTCTAAAAAACATAATCCAGCCTTTTGGATTAGAATGTGGAAACTATCGAATGATATAATAAATATCACATGTTCTTGTTGCTGTGTGCCATCAAGTCAGAACTGACCCATCATAGCTGACCCTCCAGCAGGTTTTCGGAGGCAGTAAATCACACAGAAGGACATTGTCCATCCTTTTCCTGACACAAGTCAATTTTTGCTGAAGATTGTTAAGAAAATGGCTCGAGCAGTACTTTGACAAGAAACTACCAGAAATTCAAGCAAGATTCAGAAGAGACCAAGATGTGAGGGATATCATTACTGATATCAGATGGGTGGTGCCTGAAAGCATAAAATAAAAAGAAATATGTGTGTTTTATTGACTGGGCAAAGGCATTCAACTCTGTGGATCATGATGAATTATGGATAACATTCAGAAGATTTAGAATTCCAGAACACTGTATTTTTTAATGTGAAACGTGTGTGTGTGTGTGTATATATATATATTGTTTTTGTTCAGACATTCCTCTAAGTCGTATAGCCCTGGTGTACAAGTTGCCGTCCCGCAGTCACTTGTGGTTGCTGTGAGGCTGAACACTGTGACACAGATGTGTCAAATGCGTTAATGGCTGGCTACCCAATGCGGACTGAGAGTGGGGTGGAGCTCCCCAATTAAACAAGCGTGGAAGGAGGAGTGGCATCCACTTCCATAATAGCTTGCCTCTGGAAACCCTATGAACCTGGACAGAGGATGAAAGGTACCCAAGCGTCGAGGACTCTCCTTCATAGGGTCGCTATGAGTCGCCTGCGACTTGATGGCACTTAACAACATATATATGTATGTATATATATATATATATATGCAGTGTTTTAACCAGAACAAAGAAATACTGCATGTTTAAAATCAGGAAAGGTGTGCATCAGGGTTGTATCCTTTCTCTGCACTTATTCAATCTATATGCTCAGCAAGTGACTAGACATCTCAACTTGAGGGCATATTAAGAAGAATTGGAGAAAGATTCAGTAACAACTTACAATATGCAGATAACACAACTTTGCTTGCTAAAAGTGAACACTTAATGAACAGAATCAGTATGACTTACACATCAACATTAAGAAAACAAAAATACTCTTAACTGGACCGATAGGCAACATTGTTGTATATGGAGAGAAGTTTGACATTGTCAATTACTTCATTTTTATCTGGAGAATCAACACCCATTGAAACAGCAATCAAATCAAAAGATATATTGTGTTGAGCAAATCTACTGCTGGACATCTCTTTAAAGTGCTAAGAAGCAAGGATTTCTGTTAAAAACTTAAGGGCCACCTGATTCAAGCCATGGTAATTTCAATTGCTTTCCTTACCAACCCAAGGCAGGCAGTTCAAATCCACCAGTGCTTTGGGAGAAGACTGGAAATCTTCTGTACTATTTACAGCCTCTGGAAACCCAGTGATAAGGTCAGCTTTCATTCGGTTCTTACCTGACAGTGTATAACAACAGCATATGTGTGTAAAAGGCGAGCAATATATAAGAAAGATAAAAAAAACCAAACACAACCAACTGATGACTTTGACAGTGTGTTCGAAGAATATTGAATATACCATGGACTGCCAAAAGAACAAACAAATCTGCCTTGGAAGAAGTAGAGCCAGAGTGTGTGTTAGGCTTTGTCAGACATCCTTTGGAAACGTTATCACGAAGTTCCAGCTCCTGAGAAAGACGTCATATCTGGGAAAGTGGAGGGTCAGTAAGAGAAATGAAGGTCCTCGGAGAGAGAGATACAACCTGACTACAATAGTTCACGGTGAATATTGTGAAGATGGCACAAGGTAGGGCAGAGTTTTGTTCTATTGGATCATCCCTATGAGTTGCATTCATAGTTGATGCCTTTTCAGATAATCAAAACTCCATACAGGAATTCTAAACAAATATACAGCTGGAATGTAGTAACTGTTTCAGTTAAAACTTCTTCTAGGAGAGAGGTCATTATAGCTCTGGACTACTGACGAGAGGTTCTTGGTTCAAGTCTACATACAGGTGCCTCAGCCATTGAAAACCCAATAGTGCCCTATTCTACTCTGACAACACAGTCAATCAGTATGGTTCGGAATCACCTTGATGGCAACGGATTTAATATTTCTAGGTGATATATTAACAGCATAATAGCTGCTTTTTTAAAAAAAAAAGCTTTTCTTTACTGTAGTTTTTAAAAGGTTATTATTGTTATTTGAGTTAAAGTCTTAGAAATTCTATCGAGTGTTGTCCTGAGTAAAAACTGACATGGTAACAGTGGGTTTGGGTTTGGTTTAAGGGGCTGAATGGGGAAGGAGTTCATTGCATAGTGGGCAAGAAATGCCTGAGCTTCTACTAGGGTCAACTGAAACATTTTGAAACTAGATGTGGTGATGATGGGTGCACAACATTGTGAATGCAAGTGATTAAAAATCACATTTTTTAAAAAAAGTTTAAAAAAATTTACAGATCATGTTGATTTGTATTCAATCACTTTTACATAGTTTTATAGCATTAATTATAATGAATATCGTTAATTGCAATATCTGATAAACCCCTTATTGTATATTGCCTTTCTCTTTACTCATATCTTATCTATTGATGCCTTTGAATTGTGGTGATGGTGAAGAATACTGAATATCCCACTGACGGCCAAAGAACAAACAAGTCTATGTTGGAGGAAGTAAAACCAGGGTGCTCCTTATTGGCCAGGATGGTGAAACTTTGCCTCCTATTCTTTGGGCATGTTGTCAAAGGAGGACCAGTCCTTGGAAAAGGACATCATGCTGGGAAGAGTAGAGAGTTTCTTTCCCTCCATTCCTATCTCTGGTAACCACCCACGAATGATTCTATCATTCTTGGTATGTAAAACTTCCATTAGCTGTTTACAGTAATGGTTCTTTTATCACTAACTTATGTCACTCAACATAATTTCCTCTTGACTGATCTATGTTATGCAGTGTTTAATGAAATTTGTATTATTCTTGAGTATTTTTGCTGCACTTTAAGTGATTTCCTTCAGCTATAGGCATATATTTTAATTAACTTTCAACCACACTTTTTTTTTTAATGCAAGGAGAGAAAAATGACCGCTGGTTCAGTGTGTGTCCCACAGATCATACCACTGCAAGTGCCTAAGGCTGGAAAAGCCAAACATGAAATCGATAGCAATACACTTTTGGAAATGAAATCAGGTAAGAATCAAATGTATTTTAAATGATTTAAAATAACACTATCTATACTTTTACAGTTTTTCTTGTGCTTCTTAGCATGCATTTTATAGTCAGAAGCTTGAGAATTTTGTTACTCTTTCAAGATTTGGAGAAGTATTGTGCTTTGATGGTTTGTAGAGTGATACATATTTATATTAAAATGATTGACTTTAACTTTTCCTTTTGTTTAGCTAAGTACATACTGCAGATAGCCCTCAACTTACTTTAATTAAAATAAAATGACCAAATGCATCCCCAGACATTCCTAGGATGTTTATTATTTTGCAGGATTTGACATACTTTCTTGCCAGTTAGGCTTGCTAAGAATTGAATCCTAGCTTTGACTATGAGTCAGAATTGATCCTGTAGCAGTGAGTTGGGTCAGGTTTAGTTTAGATACATTAAGGAGCCTTGGTGGCCTAGTGTGTCTGGTGTTAAGCTGCCTATTGAACTGTCAGCAGTTGGAATGCCTAGACACTCCGTGGGAGAAGGATGAGGCAGTTTCCTCCCATAAAGATTTATGGTTTTGGAAATCTAGTAGAGGATGAGTGTGAGCCATAACTGACTCCACAGTAGTGAGTTTAGGGTTTGGTTTGGGACACATTATTTATTCTTACTCATTCTCAATTTCCACATTGTAAGATATAGATAATAACATTTACTCTTTGGTGGATTTGTGAAGATTAAATTAGTTGTGATCTATGTGAGATATACATGTAATACTGCTAAATAAAAAATTATTGTAAAAATAAAGCAGTAAATACGTTTCCTGTTAATATTTATAGGCAGTCTCCAGGTTACAGATGTCCAAACTCCACAATTCTGAACCAGCCTGCATAATGCCTATTATATGAAAGTTGTTTTGTTTTGGTGAGAAAAATTTGTATTTAGAATTAGCCAACTGGACTCAGTTTAAATGATCTCAATTTTGTTAGCAAAATACAAAGCATCATAGTCAGGAGCAAGTTGAAAATAGGCATTCTTCTCTCCATCAGACTTAATCAAGGTGTTGACCTTAGCCACATCAATGTCATAGAGCTTCTTTACAGCTTGTTTGATTTGGTGCTTTTTGGCCTTGACATCCACAGTGAACACAAGTGTGTTGTTATCTTCCATCTTCTTCATGGCTGATTCAGTGGTCAGGGGAAACTTGATGATGTCATAGTGGTTAAGCTTGTTTCTCCTTGAGGTACTTCTCTAGGGGTATTTGGCTGCCTTCGGAGTCTCAGAGTCTTAGGCCACCAGAAGGTGGGTGATATGCGGACCTTTTATTTTGTGGCTGTGGATGACCTTCAAGACTGCCTTCTTAAATTTTTTTTAAAAAGAGACTGCCTTCTTGGCTTCAGTTTTGGGGAGGGGCAGGTGCTTCCTTCTTCACTTTTGGAGCCATCTTTGTAGAAAGGCTATATGAAAGTTTTGAAGTGCCTACAATATTTCATGATAACAAACATGAGCTACTTTTTTATTGACATCAGAACAGTGTTATTAGTAATATGGTATTATAGTATAAAATATGTTTCAGTGCATCAGAAGTGCTTAATGTTTTTAATGCATATTAAGGTTCACTGTATATTATTCACTAAAACAAACATTTGACCAGCTAACATTAGATACAAATGGTACCTAACTATACTGATTAAATACACAGATTTGACATAAACATAAGAATAGAACTTATTTGTAGTCTGAGAAATATTTGTAATATTAAAACCCTTTATGTGTGTTAACACACATACAGTTAATACACACAGTTAATATAAGATGAAGAGAGAATTTCTAGGAGAACGCAGAAATTAATACATCTATATACCATCAACTGATCTTTGAAAAGGAGATGAAACCTTTTAAACAGGGAAGCAACAGCTGCTTTTACAAATGATGCTGGCAAAACTGGATGTCTGTCTACAGAAGACTCATAATGCACACCATATCAAAAATCAGCTCAAGGTGATCAGGGACCTAGGGGTAAAACCAAAAGCTACCAAGAGCATCAGAGGGGGGGAAGGGGGGAAAATTAGAAGCTCTAATATACAGCATAAATAGATTTTTAAACATAGCCAAAAATACATAACTAGAAGAGAATAAAATGGATGAATGGGACCTTCTGAAAATTAAGTCCTCATGTGCATAAAAAATGTCTCCAAAAGGGTAAAAAGCCTACAGACTGGGGTAAAATGCTTGGCGATGAGATATCTTATAGGAGACTCCAGTAAAATCTGTAGAAAACTCTATTACTGCAACAGGAAGAAGGCAAGCAATCCAGTTCCAAGATAGGCAGAAAATAAAGAGTTCTCCAGACATTTTGATGGCCAAGAATCACAAAGAAATGCTCAAGATCACTAGCCTTTGTTATTGTTGTTATGTGTCATCCAGTCAATTATGACTCATAGTGACCCTATGCACAGTAGCTCTGAACCCTTTCTCCTGAGCCAATCTTACTGTCTCTGACACGTCTACCCTCATTGTCCCAGTTACTGTGTCAATCCATCTCATCTGGAGTCTTTCTCTCTTACACTGTCCCTCCATTCTTCCAGGCAAAGACTGGTCCTGCCTAGCTGCATTCTGAAAGTATGCGAGACAGATTCTCAAAATCCTTGCCTCCAAGGAGCAGACTGGTTTCATCCTCTTCAGGACAGACCTATTCTTTTAGCAGTCCATAGTATGTTCAGTACTCTTCTCTGGCACTACAACTCAAATGCAGCAGTTTTTCTGTCATCCTTGGTCATTGTCTAGCTCTCTGATACATAGAAAGTAATTGAGAAGACCATGGCCTGGATCAGGCACACCTTAATCTCTAGACTGACATTGTTGCTCTTAAGCTCTCTGGAGAAGTCCTTGACAACAGATTTTCCTAATGCAATTTGTCTTTTGATATCCTGACTGCTCGTGCCAAGAGTGTAGCAAGCTGAAATTGTTAACAATATCAATCTCTTCTCCATCTATCAATATGCTGCCAGTTGGCCCTGTGGTGAGAATCTTCATTTTCTTGATGTTGAGCTTCAACCCATCTTGCAAACTACAGTCTTTGCTTGGCCCTCTGCAGCAAATGCTTCGGGCCCTCCTCAGTTTCAGCAAGGAAGGTTGTGTCATCTGCATAACATAGGTTGTTAATGAGTCTTCCTCCAATCCTGATGCCACATTCCTCCTTATAATATCTAGCCTCTCAAATTATCTATTCAGCATACAAATTGAAAAGGTATGGAGGCAGAACATATCCCTGACGCTTTCCTTTCTTATTTTGAACCATGCAATATTCCCTTGCTCTGTTCTGATGACTGTGTCCATATCCAAATATAGGTTTCACATGAGCACAATCAAGTTTTCTAGGATTCCCATTCTTCTCATGGTTGACCACAATTTGTTGTGATCCACACAGTCACATGCCTTTGCATAGTCAACGGTGCACAGACTATGGTAGTCTCTGCTTTCACGCAAGTTTCATCTGACATTGGTAGTGATGTCCCTAGGGCCATGGCCTCTTCTAAACCCAGCATGCATTTCTGGTAATTATTTTTTTATGAACTGTTCCAAGCACTTTTGTAGAATCTTCAGCAGGATTTTGCTTGCATGTGATATTAGTGATACCGTTCAATATTCTTTACACTCTGTTGGATAATCTCTTTTTTGGAACAGGAATAAATATGGATTTCAGTTGGCCAGGAGACTGCCCTTCCGATTTTTTGGCACAGCATGGTGAACACTTCCAGGGCTGTATCTGTTTGTTAAAATAAGTCAGTATTCCAGTTCCTGGGGCTTTGTTTGTTGTCAGTTCCTTCAGAGTACCTTAAACTTTGCCTCTGGTTCAGTGACTCTATGTGCTCCTTCCATCTTCTCTTGATGCTTCCTAGATCATTCAGTATTCTTCCCCTTGCATCCTCTTAAGTATTACCACTCGAGGCTTGAATTTGTTCTTTGGTTTATTCAGCTTAAGTAATTGTGTAACAATAAATGTATATTTTAAAAAGCAGAAAAAAGTGAACTGGAGGAAAGGGAAGAAGAGGTGGGAGGGAGTAAAAATGTCCAATAATGAATGAATGAATGAATGAAAATCTCTTTTTACTGTAAACTTTCATTAAAATTAAAATTTAAAAAAATTTATTAAAAAAAGTTGAGCAAGTTCCTCCTTTTTTATTTTCTGACTTCAGCTCTTTGCACATTTCATTATAATATTGTTTTCTTGAGCTGCCCTTTGAAATCTATTTAACTCCTTAATTTCCTGATTTCTTCCCTTTGCTTTGGTCTTGGCTCTATAGTACAATATTTAGAGTCTCTTCTGACATCTGTCTCGGTCTTTTCTTCATTCTCTGTATTTGTAATGACTTTTGCATTTTTCCTAGATGATATTCTTGATATCCTCCCATGCCTGGTATAGTCTTCATTCTTTTGTGTTCAAGGCCTCAAACCTGTTCCTAAGCTGATTTTTAAGTTCAGGTGGAATTGGTTTTGATTCCCATGAATTTAATTTGATCTTCAGCTTTCATTTGAACTTGCATGTGAGTAGTTGATGGTCTTTTCCACAATCAGAACCTGACCTAGTTTTCATAGCTGATATTGAGCTTCTCCAACAATTCTAAACACAAATGTAATCAATCTAATTCCTGTGTAGGCCATCAGGTGAGTGTATGTGTACAGTCACTGTTTGTTTTTTCATAAAAGATATTTGCAATGAATAAATCATTGTACAAAATTCTGTCATTCTCTCCAGCCTCATTTCTGTCATCATGTTCATGTTTTCTGACTATTGAGCCTTATTTCGTGTTCCTAACTTTTGCATGCCAGTCACCCAGTATTATTAATACATCTTGGTTGCATGTTCATTCGATTTTTGACTGCAAGAGTTAGTAGAATTCATCTATTTCCTCTTCTTTGTCTCTGATTGTTGGTGCATATATTTGAATGATAGTGGTATTAATGGTCTTCCTTTTAAGTGTATGAATATTACCCTGTCGCTTACAACATTATATTTCAAGATGAATCTAGAAATGGTCTTTTTAACTATGAATGTAGCCCCATATATTCCTCACCTAATCATTTCTGGACATGTTGTAAGGAGAGACCAGTCCTTGGAGAAGGACATCATGCTTGCGAGGGTAGAGGGACAGCACAGGAGGGGAAGGCCCTCTATGAAGTGGATTGATTCGGTGACTGAGGTAATTGGGATGGAAGTGTCAGAAACAGTGCGACTGGCACAGGACAGAGCAGAGTTTAGGGCTGTTGCACATAGCGTCACTATGAGTCGCAAACGACTTGACGGCACATAATGACAACAACAACAAATCATTTCTGGAATAGTAGAAGTTATTGTCTGATTCAAAATGTCCTATGCCAGCACAGCTCATTTTGCCAGTGCCTAGTATATCAATATTTATGTGTTCTGTTTCATTCTTAACTATGTCCAATTTTCCTACATTCATATTTCTTGTACTCCACGTTCCAATCACTAGTGTCTGCTTGCAACTCCTCCTTTGTGTTTTCCAGTATTAGATCTCAGTCCCTCGTGCCATACATGCTAATCTACAAATGACACTGGAAAAATCAGCTGTCAGGAACCTCTCCAGAGTGCTAATGAGCAACAGTGTCAGTCTAGAGATTAAGGTGCACCTAGTCCAGTCTAGGGTCTTCTCAATTACTTGCTACACATCAGAAAGCTAGGGAGTGACTAAAGATAACAGAAGAAGAATCTATACCTCCCAGTTATGGTGCTGGAGAAGAGTATTGAACATAACATGGACTGCAAGGAAAACAAACTGGTCTGTCATGGAGAGGGTGAAATGAAGTTGCTTCTTGGAAGCAAGGATTTTGAGACTCCGCCTCACATATTTTGGGCATGTTGCCAGGAGGGTCAAGTCCTTAGAAAAGGATGTCATGTTTGGAAGAGTCGAGGGACAGCACAGGAGAAGAAGACACTGGAGGAGATGGACTGCTGCAGTAACTGGGGAAATGGGAATAGGTGTATCCGAGACAGGGAGATGGGCTCAGGATAGAACTGGATTCAGAGCTATTTTGCATATGGTCAGTATAAGTTGCAGGTGACTTTACAGCACATAACAACATCAACAGCTTGTGCTATACAGATGACATATCCTTACTTGCTGAAAGTGAAGAGGACATGAAACGCTTGCTGCAGAAGATCAAAGACTACAGCCTTAGGTATATAACGTCAAGAAAACAAAGGTCCTCACTACAGGACTAACAGTCAACATTATGATAGATGGAGAAGAGATTGAAGCTGTCAGTTATTTTTATCTTCCTTGGATCTACAATCAACACCCTTGGTACCAGCAGTCAGGAAATCCAGAGACATATTGCACTGGGCAAGTCTGCTGTCAGGGAGCACTCCACATTATTGAGTCACAATGATGTCAGTCTGAAAACTAGGATGTTCTTGGTTCAGGCCATGGACTTTTCGATCACTTAGTGTGCATCTGAGAGTCAGACAGTGAATAAGGATAACAGAAAAAGAATTAATGCCTTCAAAGTGTGGTGTTAGAGTAAAGTATTGAACATGCCATGGACTGCCAAAAGAACAAACAGTTATGTCTTGGAAAAAGTGCGCTTTGGAATTAAAGATGACAAAGCTTCATCTTTCATACTTTGGATGTGTAGCTAGCCGAGGCTCTTCTTTGGAATGAGACATTATGCATGGAAAGATGAAGGGTCAGTGAAGGAGAGGAAGACCGGAACAAAATGGTTTGACATGGTATCTAGTGTGTTCTAGTGTATCTGAGATGTAGATGGCATAGGATGGGACAAGGTTCAGGTCTGTTCTTTGTAGGGTCACAATGAGTCATACTTGACAACACCTAACAACAAAAGAATAGGTTTACATAGAGAGAGTTCTGTAGCATAATCTGTAGGGAGTAATGATACTAACCCAGCAGGGGCAGCACTGCTCTTGTAGTTTGAATTCACCAGTTGTTCCATAGGAGAAAGTTTCTTAGTCTCTCGTAATCTCAGAAAGTCAGCTGGAGTCAGTTCTGATTCAACAGCAGTAAGTTTGAGGGGTTTTAAATACCATTTTACAGATGAAATGAGTCAGTCACATTAAGTACAATTCATGGACTAAAGAAATTATTGTTAATTATTCAGTTTTATAAATTATGTATGTATACATAAATTGTTGTTGTAGTTGTTATTTACTGTTGAGTCCAATCCAACTCATAGCTGGCCCTCCACTGAGTTTTCTGAGGCACTACATTGTGGAGGAAGAGATTGCCCATAGTTCTTCCACATAAGAGGTGGTAGGTTCAAACCACTTATCTTTGAGTTGACAGTATGACTTCTTATGCCCAAACAACTTGCATTCCCTATACATACATAAACATGGATGCATATAGATAACTGAGGAGGACCTCATGCACTTACTGCAGAGAGTCAAGGACTGCAGCCTTCAATATGGACTGAGGCTCAATGTCAAGAAGACAAAAATTCTCACCACTGGACCAATCGGTAGCATCAGGATGGATGGCGAAGAGATTGAGATTGTTCACAGCTTCAGTTTGCTCGGCTCCAAGATTGAGATTGTTCACAGCTTCAGTTTGCTCGGCTCCACGGTCAACACTCTTGGCACCAGTAGCCAGGAAATCAAAAAACGTATTGCGATGGGAAAGTCTGTGGTTAGGGACCTCTCCAAAATACTCAAAAGCAATAGTGTCTCTCTGGAGACTAAGGTCTGCCTGATACAGGCCATGGTTTTTGCAATCACTTGTTATGCATCAGAGAGTTGGACAATGACTAGGGAGGATAGAAGGAGAATTGACGCCTTTGAGCTGTGGTGCTGGAGAAGAGTATTGAATGTACCATGGACTGCCAAGAAAACAAACAGATTCATTGTAGAGAGGATTAAACCAGGCTGCTCCTTGGAGGCAAGGATTCTGGGGCTTCGTCTGACATGCTTTGGACATGTTGTAAGGAGAGACAGGTCTTTGGAGAGGGACATCATGCTGGGTAGAGTAGAGGGACAGCGCAGGAGGGGAAGACCCTCTATGAGGTGGATTGATTCAGTGACTGGGGTACTCGGGATGGGTATGTCAGAGGCAATGAGATTGGCACAGGATGGAGCACGGTTTAGGGCTGTTGTACATAGGGTTGCTATGAGTCGCAAACGACTCAACGGCACATAGCAACAACAACAACATATCATAATGGTGGTGTTGTTATTGTTATGTGCCGTCAAGTTGCCTGCAACTTATAGTGACCCTATGTACAACAGCCCTAAACTCCGCCCTATCCTGTGCCAATCTCATCATCTCCAACACACCTATCCCCATTACCCCAGTCACTGAATGAATCCATCTCATTGAGGGTCTTCCTCTCCTGTGTTGTCCCTCCACTCTCCCAAGCATGACATCCCTTTGATATAATTTATTTATGACATAATAACTATGTCATAAATAACTGACCTATAGGCACTGCTTAGGAACATGGTAGTTAAGTGTTAATTACAATCTTGTTATATATTTTACAGACACCCCAGATGTTGACATATATTATACTCTGGATGGCAGCAAACCTGAATTTCTAAAGAAATTTGGTTATGGTGAAAAGAATACATTTAAGTATACAAAACCTATTACTCTGCCTGATGGAAAAATACAAGTTAAGGCTATGGCGGTCTCTAAGTAAGTAAATTAAGAACACAATGATTAAATTACTTTTTTAGCATGTTGTAATGACATTATGTTTTAATTTTTTATTTCTTTCCGTGAAAGTCAGTACTGGATTAGAACATTAAATAAAAAGTTAACTAAATTTTAGCATACATGATTTCTGTCTTTCATGTAAAATACATATATAACATAAGTAGTTTCTCTTTTATTTGCATACCATACACTGCACAAATCACAAATGTATTGGTCAGTGAAGTGTTATGCAGTGGCTGTGACAAAGAATGTGACCTCTTAACAATCAAAGTAAGGAGATTTATTGAAGACTTCAAACCATTTGCAACAGAGATGTATTCAGTCTATAGAAACAAAACCAAGAGATCTGATAAGTTGTAGAGAAACAGACACATTCATATAATAAAATAAAGAGCTAACAGTATAATTTTTCTGACTGACAATTTTAAATTAGAGAAGTTGGGAGAGTAATGTGGAGTGTGGGTTTTTTTTTATTTTCTTGTCTTGCTATTACTGTGTGGGCTCTTTTAGACTGATTAACATGAGATACATGAGATAATTGTTGGGTGATCACAAGACAATTTCAAGACTTTCTCTGGAATATTATGTCACCATCCTTTAGCTTAACCACGGAAAAATCCATTTATAGGCTTATGACTGCGCAAAAATTGTTGATGATTGGGCCAGTACACTAAGATGAAGTCTAAACTGAGATGCAGGCCTACCATTTTTGTAGCACCAAACATCTTAATTTTAGGACTCTCACACATCTCTTCCATTATAAAGAAAGTTCTTCTGTATGGACTTCCTGGTTGAAGCTTCCTTTTAGTTGAAAGCTTACTTTTAGGTTGACATGTTTTGACTAATAGATGCAGTCCTTGACATACTCACCAGTCTGCCAGAAAATCTGGAAGTTAACTGCCTGGCTGACTGACTGGAAAAAGATCCATATTTGTTTCCTTTCCAAAGAAATGTGATCCAATAGAATGTGGAAATTATTAAACAATATCATTATTATCACACACAAGCAAAATATTGCTGAAGATAATTTAAAAACAGCTTGAACAGTAGCATACAGACAGAGAACTGTCAGAAGTTCAGACTGGATTTAGAAGAAGCTGTGGCACCAGGAATATCATTGCTGATGTCAGATGGATCTTGGCTGAAAACAGAGAATACCAGAAGAATGTTTATTTGTGCTTTTTTGACTATGTAAAGGAATTTGACTGTAGATAATCATAACAAATTATGGCTAACATTTGTTATGTGAACAGAGCAAGGACACTGCATGGTTTAAAATCAAGAAAGGTGTGTGTCAGGGTTGTATCCTCTCTCCATACTTAGTCAGTTTGTATGCTGAGCCAAGTATTCAAGAAGCTGAACTCTGAAGAATGCAGCATCAAGATTAGAGGAAGACTAATCAAAAACCTACTTTACGCAGATGGCTAAACCTTGCTTGCAGAAAGTGAGGAGGACTTGAAGTGCTTGCTGCACAATAATTAGGGACTATACCTTCAGTATGGTTTGGATCTCAACATCAGGAAAACTGATTCTTACCAATGGACCTATAGGCTACATGATGATAGATGGAGAAAAGCTTGAAACTGTCAACAACTTCATCGTAATTGATCCACAATCAACATTCTTGGTTCCAGGAGTCAGGAGATCAGGAAATGTATTGCATTGGGCAAGTCTATAGTCAGGAACTCTCCAAATTATTGAGGAGCATGAATGTCAATTTGAGGCCCAAGGTGCACCTGGTTCTGGTCATTAGACTTTTAACTTACTTTCTGTGCATCTGGACAATGAATAAGGATGACAGAAGAAAAACTGATGCTTTTGAGCTGTGATGTTGGAGAAAAGTACTGAGTACCCCATGGACTGCCAAGAGAACAAATAGATGTCTTAGGAAAAGTACTCCTTGGAGGCAAAGGTGATAAACCTTTATCTCACATACTTTGGGCAGGTTGCTAAGGAAGAGAGACTGTTCCTTGGAGGGGGATATCATGGTTAGAAAGGGTCAGTGAAAAAGAGGAAGACTCTGAACCTAATGGTTTGGCACAATGACAGCAATGGGGCTGGGGTATGTCCAAGATGAGGATGGCACAGTATAGGTCATGGTTCCAGTCTGTTTTTCATAGGCTACTATCAGTTGTATTCAACTCAACAACACCTAAGAATGACAACAAGCTTTGAAAAATCCCACAGAGAATTGCCAGCCCTGATGGAACTACCAGCCCTGGCATGTGAGCCAGACAGTTGCAGTCTGAGTGAGCTCCCCACATGTGCCCATCTGGGCAACTAGCCCCGATGGGCGCTAGCCAGACAGCATCCATCTGAGTGAGGTACCCGCGTGCGCCCTCCTGGACAGCTAACACCATCAAGCATGAGCCAGTGAGCTGCAATCTGAGTGAGGTTCCCATGCGTGCCCACAGAGACAGCAAGCCCCATGGTGTGCGAGCCAGACAGCTGCAGTCTAAGTGTCTTTATGTGTCCACACTGACGGCTAGAATCTGAGTGAGGTTTCAGTTTCATTTGGAATGGAAATAGGCCCCAATAAACACTCCTTAAAAAGTGAAACAAGGTAGGAGGCATCTCTCTAATTTCAAATTACTACACTGCCATGGTGGTCCAGACAGCATGGTACTGGTACAATGACAGTCTCATAGAGCAATGGAATAGAATTGAGAACCCAGAAACTAGCCCCTCTACATATGGAAAACTGATTTTTGATAAGGAGATGAAATCAATGGGGACATGACAACCTTTTTAACAAACGGTGTTGGAAAAATTGGAAAATTATGTGCAGAAAACTCAAGCAAGATCCACACCTCACTCTATACACAAAAATCAGCTCAAAGTGGATTAAGGACCTAGAACTAAAACCAAGGACTATAAACTTCATTAGAGAAAAGCTTGGAAAAACTCTAGAAGCCCTAATCCACAGCATTAACAGTCTTCCAAGCATCCTGAAAAACCTACAGCCAGGAGAAGATAAAATAGGTGAATGGGACCTTCTAAGAATAAAATCTCTATGCACATCCAAAAACTTCTCCAACAGAGTAAAAAGGGAAGCCACAGACTGGGGAAAAATATTAGGTAATGACATGTCTGACAAGGGACTTATATCTAGAATTTATAAAATACTCAAGCACCACAAGATAAAAGTAAACAACCCAATTGCAAAATGGGCACAGGATATGGACACTTAACCAAAGAAGACATTCAGATGGCTAACAAACACATGAAGCAATGTTCAAAATTTCTAACTCTTAAGAGAGATGCAAATCAAAACAACTATGAGATATCATCTCACCCCGGTAAGAATAGCAAAATTTAATAGAACAGCAAGCAACAAATGCTGGCGAGGTTGTGAAGACACTGGAATCCTTATTCACTGTTGGTGGGAGTGTTAAACGGTGCAACCACTATGGAAGGCTGCACGGCACTTTCTCAAAAAGTTGCAAATAGAGATACCATTTGACCCAGCAATTCCACTACTGGGAATATACCATAAAGAAACCAGAACTTCCACCCAAGCAGATATATGCACACCCATGTTTATTGTGGCTTTGTTCACAATAGCAACGAATTGGAAACAACTCTAGTGCCCATCCACAAACGAATGGATAGAGAAGCTCTGGCATATTCACACAATGGAATACTACGTTGCATTGAAAAACAGGGAACTTATGAAATATACAAAATGGAAGATCCTACAGGACATTATGCTGACTGAAATAATCTTAGTCATAAAGGGACAAATACTGCATAATGCCATTTTTGTAAAGGAAGAGTGACATTGGGGTTGGAGGAAATCTAAGAAGAGAGAGGATAGATAATGTATACTGCATAGAAACAGAAGAGAGACAGAACTGTTTGAAAGGAATATATGATTAGGTATTATTTTCATGACAAGAGTCCACAATGAGAGCTGCATGGGGGAGTGCGCTCAGGGTGGTGGTGGTTGTATAATAATGAAAGTATGTGTGTATGTATTTTTTTTTTTTTACTTTTCAAGGAGTAAAACCAACTGGGGAGAAGTTTGGGCAGGGAGGAAAATGTGGAACAATCAAAGAATGGAAATCCAAAGTCTCTATAAACTTTCATTAAAATAAAAAGAAACCACCCTAGAATAAATTTAGTTGCCAAATCTATTCATGATATTCAATGCTGTTGGGTCAGAATGGACTCATAGTTGACCCTCCAGTGGGGTTTCAAAGGCTGTGTACAGTTGGAGGGATTTGGGGACAAGGTAGGGATTGCCAATCTTTTCCCTGTGAACTTACTCCTGGATATGAACCACTAGAGAGCCACCACCTTTGGATTAACAGTGCAGGTCTTTATAAACTATACCACCAGAGTTTACTAAGTGAAGTTGCTACATAAACGCATGAAAAATAGGTCCTATTAACATATGGAAACACTTTTCTCATCCAAAATAGCTCAACTTCATGGAATTCTTTTCTTGTATCCTACAATCATATTTAGGAATCTGTATTGAGGTGTTTTTTGGTTTGGTTTTTTTAACACGTTGCCTCACACTTTTAAATTGACGACTATGCTTAAAAACACATGCAGGTTGGCTATAATCGTCATTTGCAGCAACATGTTAAGTAGGCCTTTAAAATTTAATTAGATGAACTTTTTCTTACATTTTTTTAACCATAATAAGAACAAAGTATAAATAAAACCAGCAAGTATAAATAAAAATTGTTTACCTTTTTGCTGCATGTTATTATTTACTGCTGTCCATATCTCATCTTGGCATATATATATATATATGCCAGGGTTGAGGTTAAAAAAGAAAAAGAGTAAAATGGGGTTTTAAAATTTTTCAACTAACATTCTTAGTTATATAAATAATAAAGATAAACTATTTTAAAATAATGTAAAATAATGAGATTAAAAAATAGAGCTGTTGACATAAGGTATTGAAATATGATGGTCATAATGAAATAACTATTAATTAAAAAAAGAAAAGAAAAATTCCACGTACT